TTCTGCCGAGAAAGCCGGCTTGCTCGGGCGGGTGCGCAGTCAGAAGCGGTGTCAGTAGGCAAGGTGTGGGTTGGCGGTGGTTGTTGGCTGGTTGCTTTGGCTGCCTTCTTCAAACCGGGGGCCCAGCGCGGGGTGGAAGTTGTACTTTCTTGCTCCCATGGCGTTCCTTATGCCGGTAGCGTCGCCCTGCCAAAGCGCTGTTGCGCGTACCTTGTACCGTGCCTGGCCTAGCGGGCAGGGTGCCTCGCACCTCGAGGAGCGCGGTAGGAACGCGAAGATGGTGGCGCGTGCGGTGCGGTACGCGGGTGGGTGGCTTCGCGACGTGGCTGTTCCCCTGCGCGAGGGGCGGCGCGTTGGCCGCAGCCCACCGTGCGAAGCGTTTGACTTACGGTCAGGAGCCCGCAGAAGTTAAGCGTTCACCGAAATGTGGCTTGGGTTTAAAAGGGTCTCGAAGCTGTGAATCAGGGCAACGATTTGGGGAATCCACACCCTCCGTTTTCATCAGGTAGAGGAGCTAAGCCAGCTGAAGTTTTTGGTGCGAAATGGGTAAGGGCTCTTACAGCACGTCAGTTGCATTTGCAGAAAGGAAACACAATTCCCCATGCCTTGAACGTTTGCTTTCTGTTAGAATGAATCTGAGGAAATTTACTGTAAAAATGACCCCCATTCTCCCTATTCATTTCTTAATTTTTTCTATTTCAGTAGCAACTCTTGAGATACTTCAAAATGATTCACTGTTTGTGAGGTGTTTAGTGTGAATTCGTGTATTTCTGTGAAAGTGTCTATTTCTTCTTGCAAAGCCAAATAGATAAATAGAAAACATTGGCTTGCTTTCACTGTTGCTGTTTTGACCTGCAAGTTCTATTTCTGTGGTTTGAGCAGCTTTCTCATTCTAAAGTATGTAAGCCTGCATGCGTGGCACTGACAGGATTCAGATGAAAACGGTACCTGATGTACATGCTTGTGCCCCTTTCTTCTTTCTTCTGCCATAAATAAGGGTTTCAGTTGTATCACTTATTTCTCTCTTGAAATCAGTCTTCAAATGCCCCTTTCTTCTTATTTCATATCCAGTTACCCAGCCTTTGCTACAAAGTGTTTTCTTTTTTCATATTTTCATATTTCACCTCTTGATCCCCACTTCTGATAACTTTTCTGTTGTTGCAGTCAGCCAGAATCTTTCATTCTCCCTTCTCCTCACTGCATCAGTTTGCTCAGTAGCTCTTTTTTTTTTTTTTTTTTTTTTTTTTTTAATTTGGCCACAGCCATGCAGGCCTTCATATTTACTGCTTCAAGAAGATATCTACATTTTTCTGATGATATCTAAGCTGCCAGGGACACTTTTATTTTTTAGCACTGTTAGAAAATACTTCTTTTTCTCTTACTTTCCGGTGTCCATGAAACTGAACGGGCTGTCATCCAAAAGATTTTGTCCAATATTTCAGGTGTTGCCCCCTAATAGGCATTCTTGCAGTGTGAAAATTTTTTAGCTCTTCCATTAAATGAAGATACATCTTTTTTTGGAGAGTCTAAAACTATGTGCTTTACATAAAGTAAAATTGTTAATTCTGTCCTATAGCACACATAATGACTTGTAAAGAATCATTCTTATGAAATGAGTCATTTGTATCAGATTATCTAGAACAGTATGTTTTCCTTTAGTACATTGTTACTTTAGGCTTTATTAAATGAGACCACGATGGATAAATCAGATTAGGAAATTGTTTTCCCAGTGTCAAGTTGAGGTGAGAATATTTAGTTACAAACTATTTGAATGACATTTTTATGGAAACACCTCTGAAATGCAATCTAGGAGATATGCTTGAGGTATGTTTGAAATCTCATGTTGGCCCTAAAGGACAGGAGACATGGTTTATCTCTTGTTCTGCAATTATCAGCTAATTGCGCTGGAGCTAATGCCTAGCATGTGCCAATGTTAATTCAATATTAGCTAAGAATCAGAGCACGGGAATGTTTATTCACTTCACTAAGGCTATTCTACATAAAGTGCAGTAGCTTGAAGATGTCCTAATGGTGGCTTAGTGACTTATGTTACTAGATTACGGAAGAAACTGTTACATTAGCTTGACTGTAATGCAGGATCTTCATAACACAGAATATATAGTTTGAATTAATTTTTTTTTCATTAAGACTGTAACTTCTTAGACCGTAGCATGTCTTTTGGGTTTATCTGCGCTGCCATTGTGATACATAGTGCCCTTGTCGTAAACAGGAGTAAGTCACAGCAGTAAGCATCTAGAAGTTTCAGTGTATGTGCTGTATACATTTCCATATGACATCTTATTGTCCTGAATGATATTCAGGCATATGAAGAGATGAAGACACCTTTTTTAAAAAAAAATAAATTTATTTGATAGAATGGCTTTTAGTATACAGAACTACCTCTGTTTGTGTTTGTGTCAATTAATATTTATATTTGTATTTCCAGAAATGTCGGTAATGTAAAAAGGGAAACCAGAAAATCTGTGACACAAAAAATCTAAAGTTACAGCAGCTGTCGTACTAATTCCCTGACTAGCCTATCCCTGCTCACATGTTATCATTCTGAAATGTAACTAAGGCCTTTTGGATGGATGGATGAAAAAATGTTGGTTTAGGTCAATGCATGTCTTGCCAAGTTGAGCAACTGACCTGATAAACCTTCTTGTTAAAGCTGTCAGGAAGGATTTTACTTTAGCATCTGTTGAGGTGTAGATAATGAATGTAAATCAAGGAAAGCTAGTGACAGCTTATTCTAAACCTTTGCATAAATAAATTTTTGCCTTGAAACAAAAATTTTACTGAAAATGTAGTCCCACTTTCTCATGGAACAGTAGAGAATGGTGCTATGAAATCTGTGAAAATTTGAATTCAGCACTTGTTACACTTTCATATTGTTTTGCTCTGCAAGTTGGAGGTGCTTTCTGAGTTGATTAAAGGCTCTGTTCTACTTCAGTTTTTAGTCTCAGTAAGATCTTCATCCTGCTG